CCGGGGCCTTGGTGTTATCAGCACCGCACTCTACCGAGTGAGCCACGGGCCGGCCCACAATAGCAAATTTTATGTGTATTTTTTCACAACTTGTTTACAAAGCTACCGTGATATAACTTCAAATTTAAAAAAATGAGTCTGGGCCGGCCCGTGGCTCACTCAGGAGAGTGCGGTGCTGATAAAAACAAGGCCATGGGTTCGGATCCTATATAGGGATGGCCGGTTTGCTCACTGGCTGAGCGTGGTGCTGACAACACCAAGTCAAGGGTTAAGATCCCCTTACCGGTCATCTTTTTAAAAAATAAATAAATAAATAAATAAAAATAATTTAATGCTGGGAAGGGGCAAATATAAAATCTTTTGAGCACAATTCAAACAGGATAAAAAAAATAAGAAGTCTGCAAAAATAAATTGTAATGTATGATCCTGAAAAAAAACGGGGGGGAGGGACATTTTCCTTAGTTGGTTTTGGGGTCTCAGGATAGGAATCCCGTCAATATGTAAGGTGCCCATTAAAGAGGCTCCAAGAAGCAGGTGTACCCAGGATCCTCCCAGTGCCTGGGGCCAGGCAGTAGAGATTGGAGGAGAATGCACGTGCCCATCTGTTCAGTGGGACTCAAGTGGACCCGCTTCCCAGTGCTGTGGTGGCAGCGTCATATGATCAGCTCATAAGATGCAGAAGACCAAGGAGGCCAGATGGGGAGCCAGCAGCCAGCAATGCCATTTGCCTGACCACTACCTTACTATGGGCTCTGATTTAGGCTCCTAAACGTTTCAGGCATCATTTTCCCCATTTTCTTTCCCACACTCCTGGGCCCCTGCTCACCATGGCCAATTTTGTTGATGGATTTCTCTGGAGGGACCAGGAAATTTCCTGTGGCACAGAGAACAGGTAAAGGCAGAAGAACTGGAGCCAGACTCCCACAGGCAGCGGGCCTCGGCACCTTTCCAGCCCTGGGGGGCAGATACCCAAGTCCAGCCCCCTCAGGGTCCCCTCCTCCCCACCTCTAGGTCCCCAGCTCCAAACCTTTTTTATCAAAAACGCCTTTCTCAAAGAAGAATCGAATCTTGTCACCGCTGTTCAAGAAATAGTCTGAGATGCACTGTGGAAAGGGAACATTGAAGAGACTGAGAGAGCACCCCGGGGCCAGAGCTGGGCCTGGCAAAGAGAGGAGAGGATTTGGATGCTCCCCACCCATCAGGATGACAGATCCCCCGCACAAGGGGCTTTCACAAACATGTCCACTGGGGCACAGACAATGAAATACATGTGCCTGGAAGCACAGCCTGAAGCTACAAACATAGAATTTCTTGGAAACTTCTTAATGTTGTGACTCAGAACCCAGATGCAAGAGTTAAACAGGCCTGGTTCCCAGCTAGCCTTGAGCCCCTCATTTCACCTCTCAAAGCTTTGATTTCCTCATCTGTAAAAG